TATTTTCTTTCAATATCCAGTATTAAATTCAATCAACAAAACTATACAAATTTTGAGCAACCTTTGCGAAGACTGCATGTTTATTTGAATCCGGCTGTTAAAATAAAGTCAAAAGAAATCATGTTGAATGATATCAGTTATAACTTACTTCATGTGCTGTGTCCCTTCAGGATGTTGGTGATCATGGCTCTTCACAACTTCCATCCTTTGGAGCTCTTAATAAATTTTGTCTTTTTGTTATCTCTCCTAAACCTTGTTCTGCCATCCATTTAATCAAGCCTGCTAGATATGTTATGCATTATTTTCCTCCATTTCTCTTACCATCAATGTCTTGTGAGTATCAATTTTTCCTAGTCTTCTTTCCATATTATGTGCCCTAGAATTTTCAACTGTCTCTTTCTGAGGTTAAGTATATGTGTCCTTTTTTTTTTGTTTTCATTTTTGTTAAAACTTTGTTGTTACTCAGATGTTCAGTCTATGGTATTCTCAGCATACTTCTGTAGATCCAGATTTTTGTTGCTTCAATTCTCTTCTTCACCTACCTCTTTGCACTACCATAAAAGAGAACAGATGTTATGTAAGATTTTGTTGTGGATTCCGAGATGAAAATCGGTCTCCAATGAATGAAAAACGCAGGAATGAAATATAACAAATAAATGTATTTACACAATAATACAATTGGTAATACGGTTAGTAAATCCAGAAATGCGGTTAGTAGCAATAATAATATATATATATAGTCTGGTAAATCCAGTCTTGAAGTGGGACTTCCTTAGAGTCTACCTGTTTGTAACTGTGACTTCTACAAGTGGTTACCTTACACTATTACTCTACCTCCAACTCAATCACAATCTCAATCTCTCTACTATCTGACTACTCTGACTGACTCTGGGTATTTAACGGCAGCAGTCCAATTACACACTGGTCGAGTCCACTCATATGAAAAAGGGGTGGACTCCATAACACCCCTCTCCTTAGATCCCTTTTTGGGGGTAGTTAGTATTTTTGTCTCTTATGGTTGATAATCAGGGGTTAAACAAATTTTCTCTTCCTGTTTGACCGTCTCATTTCTGTGTCTTCTTCCAGTGTTTGGATCTCAAACACTTCGAAGATTGTATCTATACAATCGTCATTTTCTGCAGTTGACGAGTTTAGCTCCTCAACCCATCTTTTTTGTAATTGGTCAATATGTCTTCTATGTGAAAACTTCTCGCCTTTTATTGTGTACATTAGATTTCCTAATCTATTGATTACTGTGCCAAGCTCCCAGTAAGCCATATTGTTTCTAAACATCCTAAAATAAACCCGTTCTCCAGGTTTGAATGATCTCTTTGGTACAATCGGTGTATACTGGTTTTTGTTCTTGTTTGGCAATAATTTGTCAAACACAGACCTTATTCTCCAAGCAAACATCAATTCTGCTGGTGAAAGACCCGATGGCATGTTCATGTTAGGTGTTATTCTGTACACTTGGAGGAACTATTGTATCGCTTTTATCGTCGGTACATCCTCGGCTTTTTTTAACACTCTTTTTAGTGTGTCAACGAATCTTTCAGCTTGTCCGTTCGACCTCAGGTGGTACGGAGCTATCTTGATATATTTTACTTGATATGTCTCACAAAATTCTTTGAAGTCACTGGAGGTAAACTGTGTGCTGTTATCGCTTACCAAACAATCTGCGATGCCAAATCTCACAAATAGTTTGTGTAAACAGTTTATGGTGTTTTCTGTCGTCGGGTGTTTAAATCTGGCAACCTCTGGCCATTTACTGAAACTATCTACTGTTATTAAATAATAGTAACCTTCAATGGGTCCTGCGTAGTCCATGTGTAATCTGGACCACGGTCTGTCGACTTTAAGCCATGGCCTTTGTATAGAGGGTGAGCCTTCGCTGCAGCAGCACAACCTTTGCAAATTTCCACCATTTGTGTGATATCATCGTCCATATTCGGCCAGTAGACAAAACTTCGAATTCATCCGTTTTTTTCCGGGATGTCCTAAGTGAAAATCTTCGTAGTGACTTCGGTATTACTACTCTCTCGTTATACAATAATATGTTGTCCCAGATTGAGAAACTGTCTGCTAAATTCCTCACTTTCTCTTCTATTTTTTTCTTGGTATCCTGAATAAATTTGTCTCTTTCTGATCTCGTCTTGTCTCTAGCAGTGTTACAGGTAGTTCTGTTATTGTATTGCATTGTACCTTACTGATTTCATCTTCAGCTTGTAATTGCTGATCATTTTGGTATTTTTGTATTTGTAATTGTTGATCATTTTGGTGTTTTATCAGTTCTACCAAAATATTTTTAAAATCTTCCATGATAACTCAATTTTACATATTTTTACTCTTCATAACTGTTTGTCGCTAATTTGTTGTGGACGAGGGGAGGATTTTTCTATTTCTTCTTTTTGTGTGAGTTCGAATCGCTCAATGCGAATTTGTTGTTTTTTTTCTTCCCATGTGTGTGTGTGTGCCAATTTGCTTGTTGGACGACGAGGGAAGACTTTTCTTTTGTTGATTTTTTTCTTTTCCGCGTGGGTTCGAATCTTCATCGCCAATTTGCTTGTTGGACGACGAGGGAAGATTTTTCTTTTGTTGCTCTTTTCTTTTCCGCGTGGGTTTAAATCTTTGTCGCTAATTTGTTGTGGATTCCGAGATGAAAATCGGTCTCCAATGAATGACAAACGCAGAAATGAAATATAACAAATAAATGTATTTATACAATAATACAATTGGTAATACGGTTAGTAAATCCAGAAATGCGGTTAGTAGCAATAATAATATAAACATATATATATAGTCTGGTAAATCCAGTCTCGAAGTGGGACTTCCTTAGAGTCTACCTGTTCGTAACTGTGACTTCTACAAGTGGTTACCTCACACTATTACTCTACCTCCAACTCAATCACAATCTCAATCTCTCTACTATCTGACTACTCTGACTGACTCTGGGTATTTAACGGCAGCAGTCCAATTACACACTGGTCGAGTCCACTCATATGAAAAAGTGGTGGATCCCATAACAGATTCCAATACTCTTTTTGTTGTTTCTAATGAAATGCCCATAATTTAATCCTAATTAAAACACCCCTTAATTTAACCCTAATTAACCCCACCTCCTAATTTAATGTCCCCAACTGTCTCAGGTGAATCAATAAAGTTTGTTGAATCTTTTACATACCCAGGAAGTGAAATAAATTCTACTGAAAAGGATATGAAAATCCACATAGCTAAAGCCTGGGCTGCCTTGAATAAAATGGGTGTAATCTGGAAATCTATCAGACAACCTCAAACAGAGATTCTTTCATGCCACTGTAGAGGCAGTTTTAATGTATGATGCTACTGCTTTGACATTAACTAAAATTCTTGAATCTATGCTTGATGGAACCTACACTTGGATGCTGAGAGCTATATTTGACATCTCTTGGAGACAACATCCAACTAAATCAAATTTCTATAGACCCATCCCTGATATTTCTACATTCTTATGTGAACACAGAATGAGCTTTGCAGGACACTGCTGATGAGCAAAACAAGAACTTGCACAAGACAGGTTGGTCACCCAGTAACTGCTTACATTGACCAACTATGTAATGACCACCCTAATGGCCTTCCAACTTTGATGCAGGACCGTGATGATTGAGGTGATTAATGATGATGGACTCATTAATGATGATGATTGTGCTCATTAATGTCGAAGTTAGCTTGACCAAATAAAAATAAATTCCATCTACTGACAGAAAATGAACCAACATTTTGGCCATTTTAATACTGATCAAAGGTGACATTTCTGGTGTGTATATAAAAATCTCATGTAAAGTATAAACCTCAAATTGTCTATAAATGTATGATCCTCAGACATTTAATATAGTTTTATCTCATTGCCTCATTTTATAGCTTAAAGAATCAAGAAAGAAAAAAAGAATGATCCTGAACAAACTCTTATTGCATCAATAGAATTGTATCCAAATCCAAATTCAGGGCCTACTCACTCCTGTTAGAGGAACACCTCCCTGATCAACCTTGTCTTCAGGGGTGTAGACATACTCACCACACTTGGACAATTGTGATTTGGTGAGACTATTTACCTATAGTTTGAGGTTTTGAATTCAGAGTTGTCTTTCTCCTAGTTTGGTTGCCAACCATGGCTATAGAGACCAGACTGACCTACTATTTACCCATAGTTTGAGGTTTTGAATTCAGAGTTTTTTCTTCTCCTGCCACACAAGGCTATAGGACCCAGTCTGTTCTGATATTTACCCCTAGCTGGGGAAAGAAGAAAGGGATTCATAGCTATCCTAAGGGTGGGGAAAGATATAGACAAATTGTATGGACTTGGATGAATTTGTTATGAGAGTGTGAATGATATGTGGCCTTGTTCTTAGTTTTGTTATTTTTATCTGGGATTTTATCATTCGTCCACAATATCTTAAATTAATATTTGTGCACATTATTACATGAAAGCCTGAAATAAGAACAGTTTTTTTGGTGTGCATGCACAAGATATAACATTTTTATTAAATGATTGATTTTTGATTTAACATAGAATTACTTACATAATTGATTCATATTCACAGAACATATATATATATATATATATATATATATATATATATATATATAGATTTGTATGTATTAATGCAAAGAAAGAAATGGTTTGAGGCTTATATGTATGACAAGACATCTTTCTTGTGAGCTCATTTAAGAAAACACGTCTTTCTTGTATGCCAGTTGGTGGCCAGAGAGAGTGAGAGACTTTGTATTCTTTTCAAAACTGTCTTTCTAGAAATTCTACTTCCCTTCCTCTACTATAATCTAACAAAGCAGGGGATGCAACTCCTGCTTTTTATGAATCACTACAAATTCAAAGAAATTTTAAGAAATACAAGACAGTAAAATGAATGAAAATGATAAAGGATTTTCTTTCTGAATGAAGGTCTTTTAAATAAAAACCAAATTCGATTAATGCTTTATTCTTTTTCTTTTGTTTCTTTTCTCAGGAAAAAGACAATAAGTTTGCAGATTTGAGTAGCCCTGTTGGTGAAAGAGGATGTACTGACATTGTTTGTCTGGTCATTTTCATTGTATTCTGGATTGGAATGGTGAGTACAGAAGATTTTTTTTTTCATTTCACCCTCAAGCAAGGAAATAAAGCCACTAAGACACAAAGGGTTACAGAGAGCAAAGGAAACAGAGAAAACCTTATTGAGGAAAAAGAACAAAAAGAACAGGATCCAAGAACATAGATGACAATGTTGCATTTAGATTTTTGAAGAGTCTAGTTGACACGAAAACAAGAAGCCAGAAGAGTTTCACTGGCGAGAGAAGAACCTATTAGAATAGAACTTATGGCTACACTTAGCAATTTCAACAGTAAAATGATGAGACCAACAGCCAATTACTATGTCACCAAATTCACAAACCAAAGCTTTAATCCACTAGGCTATTGCCTCTTAAGACAATTCTCTTATAGCAATTGTGAGTTCAATCCCTGAGCCAGGCAGTGTGTACTTGAACTCAGTGGAAACAAGTCCAGCAATAACTGATGTGTACTAAAAATAAGAACTAAACAAGATATCCCTAGACATGGGCACTGGGCAGTGGAATGGGAATAGTCTACCCACTAGATTAAATAAAGAATTTAGTTTGGAATTTCCTGTAGGTTTCTCGGATCGACATACACCTGATGAAGGCTGGTGGGTACATTGGCTGAAATGTGATAAAACCCGACCAAAGATGAGGACAATAGTTTGCATCTAAATATTGTACTTGCAAATTAATTTTACCATAATGTTCATGCCACAAAGTATTGATATAGTAGATAAGTTATTTGCCTGCTTATCAACAGCTCAGATGTTTGAATTGGGAAAGGATTCATTTTTTGTTTTGATTTATCTGTTTGCGTTAGCATAATAGAAGCGCTTAACTTAAATTGACTGGTCCACTCATAAAAAATAGTAAATAATTTTTTTAACAATTTTTGTAGATTAGCATTAATTAGACCTTCCTCTCTTCACACTTGTCAGAATCAAAAATATTAAATATTACCATATATTAATATTTTACCATTCTAGAAGGGGGTCTTGTTAATACTACAAATACAGTATCAAATCGATCCCTGACTTCTTAAAGGGTTATCTGTACTTCATTTTTATTTACAAGTGTCAAGTTTGAAACAGCTTATGTCATCAATAACTGCGTACTATAAAAATTAAGGAAAAGGACAACACCACTAATACATAGTTGTCAATGACATAAGCAGTTTCAAACTTGACATTTGTAAATAAAAACAAAGTGGAGATAACTCTTTAAGAAGTCAGAGATAGATTTGATACTGCATTTATATCATGAACAGGTTCACCCTTCTAAAATCATAAAAACATCAATATTTTTCAATTCTGACAAATGTCTTATAAGTGAATGCTAATCTGTAAAAACCATTAAAAGATTTTTTTTTTTTTTTTTTTACAAGTGGACCAGTATATTTAAGTTGTTCCTGACAGAAGTTAGTAACATTGTTATTACAGTACCCAGATAGTTAAATTTCTGTAGCCCAGGATTAAAAAAATTATCTTGTCAGCTGATCGTTAGTGATTAATCTAAATTTGGGTGTCAAATTTGGTAGGAAGTACTGAAAAGTTATCAGGATGACCAAGACAACTTTTAAAACAAAAAATGATGCTTCACCATTTGGTTGGGTAGGTATCTTTTTAACACTCCCTTGTAATTTGTTTTATTTTCAGGTGAGCATATAAAATAAGGGAATTATTTATGCATGGATGAGCACATGACATGGGTTAGAGTATCTGTTCAAGATTTCACTTCTCAGCCTTCTACCTAGGATCAGTGTAGTATCTGTGTAAACATACAGAAATACCCTCACTCAGCTTCCACCAACTGACCAGTGAATTCGACACAGTGCATCTTGATTCTTACTCATGTTGGTGTGCATCAAAAACTGGGAAAGGCCCATTGCATGTTCACAAGGCAACAAAATTTAAAACAAATGCCTCAGCTAGAAATTATGACTCGAACCCTATTGTCAATAATATAACATAGGTGTATTATTCAGGGTTTTGCTTGTTCAGTCTTTTAGGTAGGTGACACTTTGAACAATTTCTGCTGTTGGACTAACAGTTCAACTCTTCCCTTAAACTCTTTCCCCTAACAACCTTCTGCTCATCTCAACATCATGAGGCATAGCATAGACCAACAACTGGAAATAATCAATGTATGTATTTTTGTCACTTGACCTTAGCCTAAGTTGGGTAGAGAATGTTTCAGCACCCCCTTGTAGTGTGTTTTATTTTCAGATAAGTATAATATCCTTATAAAATAATGGGATTATTTATGGTGATGTTCTAAGTGTGGCTTAGATGTGGTACAAGGCCAAAAGTATGGAATACCCACTGAGGATCAAACTCCCTATTCAGTTGTAATTGATCTAGCAAGACAAACTTGCTAACCATTATATCAAAGTGCTCTTATGGGATTATTTATACATGAAGGAGCACATGCTTTGGATCAGAGTATCTATTGAAGATGAAAATTTTGCTACTTAGCTTTCTGTCTAAAATCAGTTTAGTATCTGTGTACTCTGCTTTTGTATTTACAAGATAATTTTATAATGCTCTTCAAGCAACCAGATGCTAGTAGAATGGATGCATCATTTGCCTGCTTATCTCAAGGCTGGGCATTCAGATCTGGGCAGGATTCTCTTCATAACATAACTATGTGATTGTGTTAGCATGACAAACAGATAAACAGAGATAGAGAAAAAAATATCACACATTTCATTATTTAGACAGATAGATGACATGTTTAAATATTGCCATAAGAAATTTTGTAACACCAGAAGAAGCAATTAAGATAAACTTTCAAGGTGGAAGATGGGATTGAACTCTTATCCTGTACCTTGAAAGTTGATCATTAGGAGCTATTTCTTTACTTTTGATATTTCAATGTTTATTCTGACTGCCAAAGTGTTTATTGACCTAAAGTGTTACAATAAAAACAGTATGAATAAGATAGTGAAAAACTAATAAAATAATAGAAAAATGAAAATAGTATATGAGATCTTGTACCTTGTCAGAACTCAAAATTCTTTAACTTGTGGGTGTTCTGGTGATGTGTTAGACTAGTCTTTTTTTTTTTTTACTGTGAGGTTTATAAAGTCTCAGGAGCCACTCAAGGTAGAGGGTTACAGAGTAAGAGGCACAGTTTATGTGGATAGGTGGGGAAGATAACAGTTAACTCTAGACTTAAATTAAGATTGTAGTATTCTGGAAAAAATTCTATTGGGAGTTGGTTCCCTAGAGCAGTGGTTTGCAGGAAGAATTTGTTTGAGTGGAACTTACTTCTCTCCAATGGAATACAAATGGATTGAGAATGGTTCATTACAATGTGCATAGCATGGTGGGTCATAGCCGTGGAAAACTGGTTGTACAAAGTAATGTAGCTTGTCTGAGCTCTTTCCTTAGAAGTAGCGATAGAGCAGTGAGAGGCACCTTGTCTGTGAGAGAGCAGATTACAGAGTGGAAAATCATTTTTTATATATGTATTTTTTGTGATTAAAAGGGCATCATCAGACCACAACAGGATTATAAAATTAAAAAATCATATATGACATACAATAAAACAAGCATAGACAAACATAAAATTCTTTAGTATACATTTCAGAGAAATGATTGCATATTTTAAAGAATATATATGTATACAGAAGTAAAGAAGTTTTGCTTATCTGTTAAGATATGTTTCATCAGAGAAATGTCCAGGACATTTGCATCCTAATAAAGAGAAAGTTTTTATTTTTGTTTCATTTGTCAGTAAAAGACTTGTTCTGATGCATCATGGTAGTATTCTATATTTATCTAACTATTTTCTTTATAATTTAAATTTTTGTTTATTGTTAATTACCATTCTTATCTGTATTTTAAAGTATTTTTATTGCTTAACTTTTAATCTTTCTTTTATTATTGATTATTTTGTTTCCAGAATACTACATAGTCTAGTAATAAGGGTTGGGGGTTATTTAGTAATTTATTTGTTGTTATCACTATAAACTCAAATGGAAGTGCTCACTTCAACATTCACAGCTCATATGACAAAAACAGACATTATTTCACCCAGTTTCACACACCCACTTCTGAAATACTGCCCCAAAATACCAGGATCATAAAATATCTTTTCTGACCAATCAGAAAAGGGAGACATCATTTTCACAGCAGCCATTGTAAGTCACTGACTATTTTCATCCATGGAGGTGATCCAACCAGGCTGACAGTAGTGATGAACCCCATGCCAAGCAAGCTTAACCAAGCCATCAGCAGTGACACTGAGGCACTTCCACCAATAGCAATGGCTTTAGCAAATAGAAATTAATTCTCAAACAGTACAATGAAATAATTTGTGGAATATTTCTCTCCTGAGTATTTCACTCAAATACATATGTGCGTTTATTTTCTCCACCTGTTCCTCTCGACTACTACCTTGTGTTATAACTATAATGAATTTTCAGTCTCCTATGACTGAAATTTGATACCCCAGAACGAACAAGCAGTTGAACCTTGTAAATTGTGAGAAATAAAAGACTTCTTTTACTTATATCAATTGCATCTTATCTCCATTTGTTGTTTTGTCACTTCTACTATTTTCTTGTTAATGGTAAGGCTGCTGTTACAATCTCAAATAAATTCTTTGTTAATCTGTCAGTTATTCCCCTGTGTGTTTTGATAATTTCCCAGAAGTTTTATGAATAAGAAAAGTGCTGAAATAAGTAAGGAGTCAAAGGAGAAATGTCTTACTGATCAAAGATCATATGACAGCAGTAAATCAAATGGTATGCAGTTGCACAAAGGACAAAGAGGCAGTCCTCAAAATGTTTTTTTTTTCTGTTCTGGAATTATGTGTAGGAGAGAGATTTTAAAAATCTTTTTTTTTTTTTTTTTTTAAAAGAACACAAAAAACTTTTAAAGTCATATTTGATACATATATATATTTTGTGTGAGAGATAAAGAGAGTGTGTGTGATTGTATTGAATAAATGTGCATAAAAGTACGTCTATGAGAGACAAAGGTTGCGTGTGAGGAAGGATGTGTACAGG